ATACTAATATTATTATTACTACTATTATTGTTATTATTATCATTATTATTATTATTTTCCACATTATTCACCCTCTTTTATACTTATACAGCGGCTCGTCTTTGGTGGAAATCCGACTGTATCTAAACGTTCTCGAGTCACTGTCCGGTTGAAAATTGTATGTTACCACCGAATACGAGGACTGAAGCAGATTTTCTGAAACCACGTGCACCATTGAAACTGGCTGCCTTCAACGTTCGCACATTTATGCAGGTCGGACAACAGATAGGGCTGGCTATGTCTTTGGAAAGTCTTAATATCGACGTGTGTTGTCTATCCGAGACCCGTATTCAAGACTCTGGCGAAGTACTACAAATTCGATCTCCATCTGTCGCTTCGAAAAGCTTGTTTTACGTGCGCTTATCCGGGGACCCTGTGGTGTCTTCGTCTGGTCTTGCTGGCGTTGGTGTCGCACTAAGCGCTAGAGCTGAGGCAGCACTAGTCGATTGGATCCCCATTAACAGTCGGTTATGTGCTGTCAGATTAGAAAGTTCCATCAAAGTGAGAAGAAATCGGCGTGAGAAACGATGTCTTTTCGTCATCTCCGCCTATGCCCCGACAGATTGCAGCCCGGATGCAATCAAGGATGAGTTTTACCACCAGTTATCAGTTCTTCTCCAGAAAGTGCGTTCGACAGATATTGTAGTACTAGCCGGAGACTTGAATGCTCAGGTTGGGCGTCTAGACACAGAAGAGAGTCGTTTAGGTGGCCGGTGGGGACTTGTTGGTCGCAGGACAGATAACGGGGACCGTCTACTGCAACTGTGCACAGACCACAACCTGTTTCTGGCTAGCACCAACTTCCGACACAGTCATCACCGATGTGCCACCTGGCGTCCTCCCTCTGCATCTCAAGCCTGGACTCAGATTGATCACATCGCGATCAGCTACCGCTGGCGTGGTTGTGTACAAGACTGCCGCTCCTTTTGGAGTACCTATCTGGACTCTGACCATGCCTTGGTCTGCGCCAATCTTGCCTTACTTTTCAGTGGACAACGAAGTGAACGCCATCAACGGATTGATGTCAGCAAGTTGGTTGCAACTTCTGTTGCTAGTAAGTATCGAACCAAGCTAGCCTCTAGGCTAGCTACCACTCCACCGAAAAGTATAGATGAGCATTGGTTGCAATTGCATGACGCCATGAAAATGGCGGGAACAGTCAGTTGTGGGTTTGCGAAACGTCCCGCTTTTAAGCACTGGGTTTCTTCTGGTTCCTTACAACTCATTGAAGCCCGTCGGTCTACTCCGGGTGACCGTGAGTCTGACCATAAACGAAGGATGTTACGTACTGAAATTGGGCAAAGCTTGCGTAAGGACCGAGAAGCCTGGTGGTCGATGCGTGCTAATGAGCTGGAAGCAGCAGCTGCATCTGGTAACTGCCGGAAGCTCTTCCAGCTCATCCGAGCCACTGGCAGCAAGAAGTCTGGTGTGAGTGAAACAATCTGCGAGGATGATGGGATGCCAATCACTAACATCCATCGACGTCTTGGACGATGGGCAGAATTTTTCGAAGGGCAGTTCAACTGGCCTGCTGCTCCGGCAACATCGGTCAGACTGTCCTGCCCTCCATGGCCGGTGACGACTGATCCACCAAACGAGGAGGAAGTCCGCAAGGAACTCCAACTCTTGAAGCGTTACAAATCACCTGGCCCAGATGACTTACCTCCGGCTCTTTTTAAAGATGGTGGTGACTTTTTGACTAAGGAATTGACGACGTTGTTTACAAAGGTTTGGGAACTAGAGAGTGTGCCAACGTCATGGAATGAGCCGATAGTTGTCCCTATCTTTAAAAAGGGTTCACGTCGTTCCTGTAACAACTATCGGGGGATAAGTTTACTTCCGATTGCGTCCAAGCTATTGGCTTCCGTCATACTTCGTAGGTTGTTCAAAACCCGAGAAAGATTGACTCGCGAGGAGCAGGCTGGGTTTCGTTCTGGTCGAGGATGTATTGATCATATCTTCACCCTCCGCCAAATGTTAGAACACCGCCATACTTTTCAAAGGCCAACAATCGTAGTGTTTCTTGACATCAGGGCTGCCTTCGATTCGTTGGACAGGACTGTTCTCTGGGATTGTCTATTGAAGAAGGGTGTGCCTGAGAAGTTTATTAACATCCTAAAATCCCTATATACAAACACCTCAGGGAGAGTGAGGGCATACAACCACCTCTCTCCATTGTTCCATTCGAGAAGTGGGGTTAGGCAGGGTTGCCCAATCTCACCATTCCTCTTCAACTTTGCCATCAATGACATTCTGGAAACAGCTCTGATGAATGTAAGTAATGGTGGTGTGGATCTGTTGCCTGGAGAAAGACTTCTCGACCTTGAGTATGCGGACGATATTGTCTTACTGTGCGATAATGCCCAAGGTATGCAATCCGCACTTAATCAGTTGGCAATCAGTGTCCGTAGGTATGGTATGTGCTTTGCACCTTCGAAGTGCAAAGTACTCCTACAAGACTGGCAGGATTCCAATCCTGTACTCACCCTGGATGGTGAGCAGATAGACGTAGTCGAGAAGTTCGTGTATCTGGGTAGCTGCATAAGTGCTGGTGGGGGTGTGAGTGATGAGATGAATGCACGTATAGTGAAAGCCAGAGCGGCTTATGCCAATCTGGGCCACCTTTGGCGCCTTCGTGATGTTAGTCTGGCTGTAAAAGGCCGGATCTACAACGCGTCGGTGAGAGCAGTTTTGCTCTATGCTTGTGAAACCTGGCCTCTCCGAGTTGAGGACGTTAGACGACTCTCTGTGTTCGATCATCGTTGTCTCCGAAGGATTGCTGACATTCAGTGGCAACACCATGTCAGTAATGCAGAGGTTCGGCATCGTGTGTTCGGGCACAGAGATGATAACTCAATTGGTGTGACCATCTTGAAACACCGACTTCGGTGGCTTGGACATGTTCTCCGAATGTCGTCCCAGAGAATTCCACGTCGTGCATTATTTGCCGACTCTGGGACTGGTTGGAAGAAGCGGAGAGGTGGTCAGTGCATGACATGGTGTCGTGGCATGAAAGAAAGCTGCAAAGGACTGGCTTGTGTTGGTCCTTCACGACTCCCTGGCTGGGGTCTGAGAGATGGTGCTACACAGTGGCTAGAGACGTTATCAGATATGGCTCAGAATAGAAGCCAGTGGCGATCATGCTGTAACCTTCTTTTACTTTCTTCATAAAAAGTGGTTGTGTCTCCTTTACCTGAAAGATTTCTTCTGATCGTACCTTTTCGTTCCGTCGTTACTACCACACTACCTTACTCCAATCTCTTCGTCATTGTTCTCTTTTTCTTTTGCGTTCCTTAGTTTTTTTTTCTCTTTCTACTTCTCTTCGAATTCTCATTGTTTTGTGTGGCGCATATATATTGGCGCTCTCTTGTACCAATATTTATGTGTTCAAATAAATAAATAAATAAATTGTCCAACTTAGGAGGATTTAGCTGAAAGGCATACCCATTTTCACGTACTATAAAATCAGTTCTTATGTATCAATCTACCAATCATTGGAGATTCTGTTAACATTCAACATATGCAGCGCATCATTTCCATAATGAAGCTCTGTTTATAACATCAAATCATATGCGAATAATCCCTGCCGTATTTCTTCTCTCTCACAGCCTTGAAATTTTGGGTTCCAAAGAACATATTGTCCCGTAATGCTTCAAAGTCTTTCACGTATTGGGGATACATTTGCACGACTACCTTTCTTATTTTTTGTCGAATTAGTAGCAACAAAACGCGTTACTTTTCTTTATGATTACTGGAAACTCTATTCCAATTGGATAACATCGACTTGTCCCTCTTGTTTGTGTCCAGATGAATCTCATATCAGCTTCATTATCTCAGTCGGTAAGATTTTTGTTCTGTTTCGTCCATTTTTCATAGCTGTGGTTATAAAATTGAAGACTTTTACATTTGAAAATATTTTCCACCACATATTTATATCATTCGTAAAACTACTATATATAAATAAATTTCGAGTTCTAGCTTAAAGCTATCATTTAAGAGTCTTTAAAACCTTTGGTTCTTGTTAGTGAGAGTATAACTGTCAAATTATTTGATTGTTTCTTTGTTTATATTCGTTAATATCATGGGATTAATAGTGTAGTGGAACGTGTTTGAATTTATCTTTCCAGATGAAAGTTTTGCTTAAAAAACTAAGTGGTTGTCCCTTCAGGACATTTCAAAATCCATGAATTTATACACCTGAAATCATCTCTTTCTAATGGTTCAGGTTTTTTGCTAGAGTTCAAATGTCTAATTACAAACTAGCTTACTAATAAACTTTTGTCAGTATCGTTTTACTAGGTAAAAAATAACTTATGGATATCTCTAAATTGATTGACTAGTGAGCTTGATACAAAAAGAAATCATGCTTTATTTCAAGTGTTAGTCATGCGCATACAGCCACCGTCAGGGAAGTCCTACTTATCGCCTTCTTGCGACAGGGATGTTGTTTAAAAATTTGGAAGGACCGAAAGCGAATGTCTGGAGCTTAAACGGGACTGGTGGATACGGAGCACTCATCTAAGGGTGTTGGAAAACCCTGGTTCCAAACCAATGGTGCATATAGGCTCCAAGATCCTGAGGAAGCAAGAGGCGTATGAACCTATTGTTGGTCACCGACTATCATGGGATCGCATCTCATAACGCTGCTTCGCTGGCTTATGTACCAGACCTCCAGGTCAAAGGCTTGGAGAGTGGTCCCCTAAGAAGACCATCTGCTTTGGTTTGGGTGCCCTGGCAGTATTCCAGTTCTCACACAAATCGAATGATTTGTGTGGCGCATATATATATCCTTGTACTAATGTTTGTTTAAATAAATAAATAAATAAAAGACCGCTTGCTACCCATCTTTAAGCTGGTCAGTATAATTTGCAACTTTTAAAAAAATGCACTTCACAAATAGTACTAGTTTTTCTAATGTACTCCATAATAATATTTTATCTCCGTTCTATTTTTAATTTTCAGCTTTCATCATTTGTGCAGTCACCTCAGTTATTTACATTAAAGGCATTTTCACTGTTGTATTTATTGTAATAAATCTCTTTCTTGTTTGTATAATGTTTACGAATTATATGTCTTTATTGTACACTATCACGTTACCGACATTTCCACCCGCTTTGTCTTCTTTCTCTACTTATTTTTCCTCGTCGTCGTCTTCTTCTTCACTGTCATTACTTATACGATGGCATTGTATATTGGGCTGTTTATTACTCTCTACTTCACTTTTGTTTATGCTAATAAATTCAATATTCAGGCGTATACCACCTTATAAATATTTTATAATTATAATTCTTTATATCTCTGTACTATTTATCTCTTCATTGCCAATTATTATTAAGTCCTCATCAATAGAATTGACGAGATCCGATAATGCAAAATCATTGAGAATGATGATGATAACAACAACGACAACAGCAAACGATAAGCATTCATTTAATACAAATGTCATCTATGGATTAAATAATTTTTCATCAACGTGGTTATTCTATGTCTATACAATGGTTAAACCGAATTGTTGTGTCAAGCAATCTAATGTAAATAGTAATTGGCAATCTCTTTGTCTGCCTACAAATATTCATTTGTTTTCATCAAATGAGAATAATATTGTTCATGATGTAACTATTGTTTCTGAAGCAGCTTATCGATATGATATAATCTTACTAACTTGTTCTTATGGTTTATTGTGTATTTATATACTACTTCTATTGTATTGTTTAAGCATTACTGATATTTATGAGATCTTTATGTCATGTGTTAATATAGAGCTGGAATTATATCGACTTGGTCTAGTTGATTATATCACATTTCATTGGAATCGATTAGATGTACCACAAATTTTAATGTACTTTTGGTCATTCAAACTAATGTCAGTGATTATTTTGGGTCCAGTATGCTGGGAAATTATTCCAACTGGTGATGTTAATGTTGATGAGATATCAGCGAAACTATTCAATTCTTCTACATTGAATGAATATTCTAATCTGGATACTGCTAATCAATCAACATTATCTATACTATACACAAGATTATTTGTTGGTCTTTTTGTACATGGATCAGAAACCTGGTTGTCAGTGTGTGGAGCAGCTGCATTTTTCGGTGCATTAGCTACTATTTTCGTTTCTATATTGGTCTTTTTATTGGATCCATCCCGTACTGGGACAGCTCGGTTAGCAGTGGTAGCTGCAGAAGCTCCAGCTGATCCACATACATGGAATGTAATTGATGATCCAGCGTTAGCTTTAGATCAAAATGATGTTATTGCTATGGAATTACTAGCTAGTACAGGATGGAATTGTGCTGTTGTCTTTTTGTTCTTAGCTTTCCAATCAGATATGCCTAATCTTCCACCAGTTTATCGTGCATCATGTTCTATGTATGGAATTATGGTTCTTGTGATTGCGTGTATCCATCCTATTCAAGCATTGATCAAGTCATTCTTATTACGTCTTGGGGCACCTGGTCAACAAACAAATTGGTCCGAACATGTACGACCATTATGTTTTTGTGTTGTGCTAATTTTTGCAGCTTTCAATATGTTCACTTGTTTACCAAGAATATTAACAAATGACAAACTGGATTATATTCGTAATATGAATCACAGTGAAAATGCATCCTATTTAGCTGTTTTATCACATATTGGCTCATCGGAAGAAGCAATACTTGCGAGACGACTAAGAATATTTCTAAGCGGTTGTCAATTATTAATTAGCCTTGTAGTTACACTAATTGAATATGCTATTTATCAATACTCTTATCGATATCCTAATTGGACAGGATTTCAACCAACAATATTTTGGACAAAAGTGATTAGTTCAGTAATTGATTATTTTATTTCATTATTATCATTTCTAACAGTCTGTTGGTTAGTATTCTATGATTCTTTTGGAGTGTGTCGTTTGTTTATTATTTGTTGTTATTTCTCCTTAGTTTTATATCCATCAGCGCGTAGAGCATATATATGGATAAAATGGCGATTATTATGCACTAAACGTATGAATGATTTAGTTAATCCTAGTAAAATACAATTAGAACGATATGGTGATACATGTCCAATATGTTTTGCTGAAATGACTATAACTACAGCAAAAATTACTAGATGTGGTCATCTTTATCATTCTGAATGTCTTATACAGTGGATGAAACATAAATTAACATGTCCTATATGTCAGTCAGATTTATTGTCGACTAGAGTGACTAATAAACGACGAGAAGTTACAAGTGCTCGAATGCAAGAGACTATAGTAGGTGAACAAAATTAATTAAGTTTAAAAGAAATTATTCAGAATTTTTGACTTTATTTATTATTATTACTATTACTACCAATACTACTACTATTACCATCATCATCATCATCCTTTTCACTGTCTAACCATTCGATATTAAACAAAAGTCAAACAAGAAATCACCTTTCAATCTTGTAAATGCAAATTGTTACTACTCTGTGCCTTCAATTGTACACTCATCATTATTATTTGTCAAGGATGTTTGTAAACTGGAGGCGCGTATAAATTCATAATGTCTATGTGAAGCCGCTTTTTTGTTTATTTTTGTTTTTTGTGTGTATGTACGTGACTTATTATCATGCATAGTACATAAAGAGAAGATTTACAATAAATTATTGACATATAATATTGTCTATTTTTTCAGAGAAATAATAAAGTTAGTTTCGGTGTGATTCATTTACCAGTTTTGAACTATATACCTTTTGTTTATAGATTAATGATATAGTCCAGTTGCCGCAACTGATCTAGAAAGTGTAAGTTCAGTACTATGATGTAATTGTTGAATGTCGAGTGTTAAACAATTGGTCACTTATAGTGAACAGAAATATATTTATTCTAGCTGTACATAGCCCAGGACAGAGTTCGATAAAGAATACTGATGGGCGGCCTATGCTCCTCCACGAGGAGTAACAGGCGTAAGTAATTAAGTAAAGCTGTACGTATAGTCAGTTGGAGATTGTATCATCAACATTATTACTATTGTTTTTTTTGTGTCTGGTTAAACTATAATAAGAATTTACCTCATTTAATAAATATGTTTCTACTGTTAACTTTAAACCACACTTTTGTTTCTACCTAGTTATCCAAACTCCAAACAGGTGAAGCGAAGCTTTAATAATTAGAAGCTAGATGTTGTAATCATCAAACCGTCATACAAATCTCAGTCTACTACGTGAAAAATGATCAGTCAGCTACAACGTAGGACCATGCATATATATGCATCGGTCCAATTTGCCATACCACATTAACACAACAAGATGGACACCGGGTTCATAAAAGTAGTTAATTCAGAGGTGGTAATATATAAAAGAAAGATTGCATATAAGGATATAGTACAAGAAGAAAGAATTAGTTCGTAAAAAGAAAGATATGAAGCAGTTTTAATCTCTTAGTTTAAGGGAAGACAGAGAGTGTATACACCGACGCTTTTGTAATCGATTCTGAACCATGTCACACACAGTCTCCAACCATTGGTTACGATAGTCACGCGGACCTCGACCAAGTAGTCTGCATCTACCAACATGGCTCAGACTAGAAGTTAATGACTTCAAGCACTGATGCCACGTTTTGGTTTGGCTGCCCCTAACTTTCTTCCAACCATCCCCAACACTAGTTAGCATTGTGCATCGTGGTAGTCGGTGTTCAGGCATACGTAACACGTGACCCAACCATCTCAGTCGATGAAGATTCACAACCTCATCAACTGATTTACCATCATTCCCTAATACCCAGTGTCTAACCTCACTATTACTTACCCGGTGATGCCAGCAGATGTGAGCAATATTTCTGAGACATCTGTGATCAACTACTAGTAGAATACGAGTATTTTCTACTTTTAATAGTCATGTTTCGCAGCTGTAAAGTAGAACAGAATGAACTTCCGCACAATATACTTGTCTCTTAATTGATATACGAATATCTTGCCTTCGCAATAGGTGACGTAAGTTAGCAGAAACCAAACGAGCTCTTCGAATCCATGCTGAGATTTCGTCAGACACCAACCCAGCACGTGAAAAATGATAATGAAGATGATCAATTTACAATCACGTATCGACTAAAATCAATAAATCATTTACTATTTACAACTATTGATGATTTCTTACGACTATTTAAACTGTTGGTTAACGTATTAAGATTGAAAGGATTAAGTGCATGTATATAATAACATGCAAATATGTAGCAAACAGATAATTTAGATATATTAAAAAACTAACCTCTCACTAATGGTAATCATTTATCATGTCTCATCAAGTCCTTCATGCTGATGGAATCCCATCAAGTTAGTTGCAACATGTCCACTGATCTAAGTGATACAGTGTCGTGGTGTACTTTTTTGCTGTTAGTAGGAATCACAGACTTACTTTCCAAGATATCTGGCTCTTGTCGGGAAAATTTGTCTAGATTCTCAAAGGAAACGATAAGGAATTCTAGCCTGGCTCACAGTATTTTTCAAAAATGTCATTACTATGCTACTTGGATAGAACTGACTTTCTGTAACGTACATGTTTTGTACTAATTAGTCATTGATTAATAATTAATGTCCTATTGCGTAGTCCTTATGGATAATCGCTTCTTATCGATGTAGTTGTAATGAAGTAGATGATTATAGATCATTGATAAGTTAAATTAGGCCATGAGTATTAAATTGTCCTTATCTTTTACAACAAACTCCTACATCATCCTAAGTTTGCTTTTAACTTTTTCAACTACCCTCTGCAGACAGTTTCTAATTTATAACTCAACAGGATTACTTTGGTTTTGTGTTCTTTGAGCTGAATAATTCAATCTTAAACATTCCATAGTCTTTCTAGACAACATTATTAGCTGCAAAACTTTCAGTAGATATCTAGAACGACAATAAGAATTTCTTGAAATAAATCATTTGAATACAATACTATGTAATTTTATACAGATATCAGAATTTAGTTTAAATTACTGGAAATTTATTAAATAGTGAGGATAAATAAGTGTATGATTATGTACAATGGTAGTTATCAATTAAACAATTGCCTATTGAATTTACAGTTCATTGCGTTGTTGTGTCTTGTTATTGGGGTTCATTACGGCCTACAATGTTAAAGATTTAGGAACATAAACGACAGGGCTTCTCTAATACGATCGATTTTCTTTGTAACTGACAACACCCAATTATGCTCAACACATCAAACCTCGACGGCTAAGGCAGGAAGATGGAATTGCAGGTAAATTGATATTTTGTGGTAGAACAAGCAACTCAAACCACATTGGTATAAAAGTTGTTACTATGGTAGCAGAATATGACCTTCGAGCATGTAACGTCATCACGACTGGTTTGGTCATATAACTCTTCTGGCGATTTTGCAACTATGAGTATATCGTTTAAATAAACGGTTACACCTGTAATACCAGTTAATATGGTATCCATTAATTCTGGAATATCGCTGGTGCCATCTTTACTCCAAAAGGCAGTCGTTTATACTGAAATAAACATCTATGTGTGTTTATTGTCAGTAATTCACGGCATGAAGGGTCGAGCTCTACTTACAGATAGGCTTCGGCTAGATCTAGTTTTGCAAAGTAACTTTCACCGTTTAATATTGTAAGAAAGATCATCTGGAACTGAATAAGAATAATGATATTGTTCTTATCACATTTTGTAATCTTGTATAGAATATTCATCAATGATTTTTTGTTTATGGTACATCAAACTAAGAAAATTTATCTAAGTTCAGATTGTCCTTATTTTCATATTTAAGTTTTTCGATATTTAAAATAATCTTGCTTACCACAATAGACTTTGCAGTTATTAGATTTGGTAAAGTTTCATTGTTTAGGAACAAAAAAGTGAAATTTTGTCAAATGGTATCAGTGGATTAGATTAATTGTTGCAGTGGTACTTTTTAAAATGACCAGGGCGTGGCGAATAAACATCTTAGCAACGTTTTGCAAGTGGAGCAGTGAGCTAATAGCTGAAACATCCAACTTTTAATTGGTAGTTCGTATATTTGAACTCGTTCCCACCGACTTCAGTTTGAGCAACTGAATGGTATCATGAAATGTGACTGAATAATTCCTGGTTAGCGTTTTTTTAGCGAGTTAGTTTTCTACGGTTTGGGGTCGCTAACCCCATTCCCAATCCTCCCCCTTTGTCTGGGTTTGGGACCGGCAGTAGCCCCAGAGGGGCTCCAGGCGGAGTTATCGCTAAAGATGATACCATATTATTATTAGGGGATGTTATGTCCCGATAAGAATAATAAATGGTAACTTTTGGGATCCATTTATGGACCAATAATATGAGTATATTTTTATTGTATATTTGTTAAATAACTGGACTATTCATATTCATGTTCCTCTTATTATGAGCTTTATTTTGACCTATGAACTATTATTTTATGATCTACCATTCTTGAATTATGCCCTGTCTATTAATTACTATCTCCCTCATTCACAGCCACATTTGGCTAATTCTTGTACAAATGTTGTTTCCTATTTTATGGTACGGTGTGGTCTGTCTGGTTGGTATATAAACCTAGTATGCTTGAAATAAATGATTCATATTGCAGAGCCTGAAATTGGTGTTCTGGACCTAATTGGCCGGGCTAAGCAAGAATCACGACCAATCAGGACTCTAGACTGTTCGTACATGTTTTATGCGTCATTGTTCCGACCGATAATTCACTACTCTCTAATTGGCGGTATCATTACGTTATACATTAATAGGGCACACAGGCCACAAGTTATAACAGGGGATAGTCTAAATTTATCAAAAATAACAGTTTTGTCCTTTTACTGTGTTCCTTATTGATAATTAACATATTTTTAACAAAAAATATCTTTATATACTTGTGCAAACAACATTTGAATACTTTGAGAATTTGGTTGGCTAATTGGTTATTATGCAATTAGGTTAAAGTGCGATAGAACTGTTGAGACCTTCTAGCACTATAAGTCGATATAGTGAGCGAAAAGTGTCTCCATGATGTATAGCCTAAGATGTTGATTTTCAGTTGCGGAACTTTCTACGACGAGTACTCGCATTATTTGATTCCAGATTACTGTTTTTTGGGCGTCTGTATACAGTTCCCAAACAGAACCAACTCAACCTCCCTATTCTCTAGATTACAAAAGTTGGCAACGCCATAGGCTGTGTTAACGAGATATAGATTGGGTTAAAGCATGCTCCATACAGGGTTGTGTTGGGGCACGATGATTGGGGGATACTTGGAGAAGACTAGGATATTCTTCTGTGAAGATTATAAATATACTAAATTTTTCTTATTGTGATTCCTGCTTTTATTAAACCTTGTTTATTTATAATATAATTACGTTCCTGTTCAACCGTGTTCTGATCTGAAGACTTGTCGATTGAAGTAACGTCCAAGAATAAGAGTAGCTATGCTGTAATAAGAGAGATCGTAAGACAAAATGCGTGATGTGATCACAAATTCCTCAGGAAACATCGGCTCTCTCAAGATAACGAGTGTAAAATGGCACAAGACCTACTTAGGTAAACCAGGATTTTTAGTTGAATATTTCCAACCACGCAACACTAGTAAAGAACATATAGTTCCTGATCGCATTTTAACTGATATCGGTTTAAGATAACTGTTTTGGAATGAATCCCCCCCCACGTAACTCAATTAAAAGTTGATATATGTGCTATAATTTGGGGCGAATTTCCGAAGCATCACAATGAAACTGACAAAAACCCTTTATAAAGAATTTGCTAATTCCGTTACATAATACTGATCACATATACTGTATTTATATGAAGTGATTGGGATTTAATCAAATGCCTTTGTATGGACCAGGAGTCCGTACTATAAAACAAATAATCGTCAATATTTTATTCCAGTTAGTAATTTGATTTGACATGTCA